GCTCAAAAAAAAAAAAAAAAAAAAAAAAAAAAAAAAAAAAAAAAAAAAAAAAAAAAAAAAAATCTTCAGCTTCTTCTGTTTCATCAGAACCAGAACCTCCAGTCAGTAGCCATCACAGCCATAAGCCACCCAGACTATGTTGCCTGGGGGGGGGGGGCGCTGTTGGGTGAGGTTGGCTTGGAACCCTGTTCACTGGCTTCCACCATGCTGCTACTCCCTGTCTGGTCAGTTAGTTGATCTGTTCTTAGCATGTACTGGTGTTCTTTGGGATTCCCTCTTCACTCTCTTTGCTCATGTGGTCATCTGTTCATGGAACTTCCATCGTTGTTTGTCAGGGGTTCAGCTGTGTCTTCCAAATGCTGACCTGTTGAAGCTGTAACCTCCAGAACTTCTGGATTCCATCATATTGGAAATCGGGTAATGGCAGATGAGATTAGTTTATATGAAGTCACACTGGAGTATTTAATTCCATATGACTGGTGTCCATAGCTAAAGAGGAAATCTGAACACACACAGGAATAACACTGCTGAGGCCTGAAGTGTCTCCCTCTCTCAAAAATTAATTCTTGAGACTCTACCCTTGTTGTGGTGCTAAGTGGTGGGGACTCTTGAGACATGATGAAGTCAAGGGTTCTGCCCCTGGATGTGGGGGAAGCTGCAGACCATCTGAGCCTGTTTCACTCTTGCCCTCCTGTTCTTCCCACTGTGTAAGGACACATGAATGGCATCGTTTATGAAGAACAGATCGTGACCAACACTAAGCCCTATTAGTATCTGATCTTGGACGTTTCACACTCCAAAACTGTGAGCAACAAATTTTATTGTTTATAACTTGTCCAGTGTAGGGCTGGAGAAAATGGGCTTAGTGGCTGAGAGAGCATAGTGTGCTCTTGCAGAGGATCCAGGTTTGGTTCCCAGAACCTATGTCAGGTGGCTCCCAACCACCTGCAATTCCAGCTCCAGGGGATCTAATGCCCTCCTTTAACGTCCTCAGGCAGCTGTACTCACATGCACCCCCCCCCCCCCCCCCCCCACACCCAAGGACAAAAACAACACAGAAAAAGATAAATCTTTAAAAATTGTCCGGTCTGTAGTATTTTGTTAATGGGATCACCATGTGAAGATAGACATAGAGGTCAGAACCAACCAACCCTCAGAAGCAATGGGAGATGCGCACACAGATCACCAAGGAACCCACACTGATGCCATCTTGATTCTCGTGTCCAGACTGGGAGAATACATTTCTATTAGAACATCCAGGTTGCAGTACTTAAAATCAACTCAACAAATGAACTCATCACCTAAATGTTAATGAGCCGAGCATGATGGTTTACACTTGTAACCCCTGCATTTAGGCAGAGACAGGAGAATCGATTCAAGTTCAAGTCCAGCCTGGTCTACATAGCAGTTACTGGGCCACTCAGGGATGCACAGCGAGACCCTGTCTCAAAAGCAAAATAAAAAAGGACAAAAAGCCACCCCGCCCCAACTAAATGGCAATAACTCCAAGATCTCTATTGGTAGTCTACAAGGCCCAGACCTCAGGAATTGAACAGCCTACTGATTTGTGCCTGGGTCTGGGCCTGGGTTTTGTGGCTGGGTGCTGACACTGAAGTGGTCAAATGCTTTTAAAGAAAAGTTTAATGGTCTTCAGTTCTTGGAGACAAAAGGCAAAACAAGACATGCACAGTCCCGAGGGGGAAACACTATTGCCCTTTGGATGGGAGACAGGAGCAAAGGAAAGGGTAGGCATAGCCCATAGTCTTCCTCTAAGGGAAAGACAGGCAGTGGCAGGGCTAGGATTAACCAGATTTAATAATTCTGAGGGGCTTTGGAGCACAAAGGCTGTTTTAGAGAACGGGCTCTGGGTTTCAGGGGAAAAGGTAGAGTCGAAGAAAATAGAACATGTACAGCATTCTAGCCCAATGCATCTGGATCTGAATGCATTGTCTTCCTCTTCTAGCCTTTCCCTCCTCTGGTCTCCCTACCCCGGGGATAGACATGCCTGTATCTGTGCAGTCAGGAACCTGAGAGCCATTCCTATTCCTCTTCTGCCTCACCTCCACCACACTGAAGAGTCCTGACAACTCTGCCTTCTACCCTGAAGATCTTCATTCTTCTACCTGCCAGTGCCCCCAATGCCCAGAGTGCACTCTCTCTCCTCTCTCTCTCTCTCTCTCTCTCTCTCTCTCTCTCTCTCTCTCTCTCTCTCTCTCTCTCTGAGCCATCTCTCCAGCCCGCCCAGAGTGCTCTTAATATTAAGCGCCCAATTGGCCCCTTTGCTTCTGTCTTTATTCTCCTCCTTCTAAGTAGCCCGAAGATTTCTTCTCAAACACATCTCTCTGACTACTCTCTTCCTGAGTGCTTTGAGGGATTTCCTCTGCCCTCAGGAAGCTCAGTAATCTACTCCTTGATCACCCACACGCTCAGCCACGCATTTCTTTTGGCTCCAGATTTTCACTTATCCTGGAGCTGGCACTCTTGCCTCCCATCTGCCTGGGAAACTCCTATTAATTTTTCTGTCTTTCCCCATTGAAAGTTGGGCATCATTCTTACCTGCTCCCACACAGCAGCAGGGAGCACTTCCTTTTTCTAGTACTCTTTCCTGTCCTAAGAGCTCAAGCCTTTAATCACAGCACTCGGGAGGGGAGGCAGAGGCAGGAAGATCTCTGTGAGTTCGAGACCAGCCTTTCTACAAGAGTTAGTTCCAGGACAGCCTCCAAAGCCACAGGGAAACCCTGTCTCGACCCCCCCCCCCCAAAAAAAAAAGAGAGTTCAACATTCAAATCTCATGGAAAGATTTTACATTACATACGTTGATCTATCCCTAGACTAGGAGTGGTACAACTCGCGGTCTAGTCTACAGTGGGAAGCCAAGGTTCTACCGAAATCCCTATCCAAAACCTTAATGAAAACAGAGACAGGATCCAACGCTTGCAATAGAGTTGATGAGCAAATCATTTGTTGCACCCTTTCTCTTGGCGGGGATTGTAAGAGACGAGGGAGTAGAATATCACCGCTGAGCGACTGAAACCTGAGTATGCAACAATTTGTCGGGCAGTGCTTGTGCCCAGTGTGTGAGGGTCACGGTGGTGAATGGCTGCGCTCTGGGGCTGCGGAACCCTTCCCAGGCTGCCGGATTCAGCCCTCGCCGTCCAGAGATGGCACTCACCAAGATGGCAGCTGCGGGGCGCTGCTTGCCCCGGGGGACAGCGCTTTCCACCACCAAGGCGACCCAGGAGCGGAGGGGCGTGGACGACTGGGTCAGTACGGCTTGTATTTGTGAGGTTCGCCTGATCGCCGAACGCCGCCCCTCGTCTCCAGACTGGCGGTGGGCGGGGCCCGCGGAGGGCGGGACCTGCAGAAGCCTGCCAATGGCGTGCAAAAGGCGGGTCCACGACAAACCGCAAGCGGAAGAGTCAAAGTTCAGGAGCTAGAGCCAGCCGGGAGCCTGGGAAATGGAATACCCCTACATAACCAAGATGCTGAGTTCGTCCCTGAGCTCGCAGAACGGCACCTGGTCAGACACCGTCTCTCTGCTCTTGGCTCTTGGCGTTGCTCTCTACTTGGGCTACTACTGGGCATGTGTGCCCCAGGTGGGTGAGGGCTGAGCTCTGGCCGGCGTGTTTGGGGTACTAGAGTGTATAAGGGTAGTCTCCACCCTGGGCTCCAGCCCTTTCTGAAAGCTTGGATAGTTGGTCCTCCCGCGCCAAGTGCATTTTGCTATTATGACCTACTGGAGAGCCGACTCTGCCTCTTTAGATTCTCGGAATCTTCCTCTGCTAGCTGAGTCTTTTAAGGCACAGAAAGGGTGCGCCCCTATACTGTTGACTATTGGATAAAGGTGGAGTGGAGGTCAGAGATTGCGTTTTCTGCTTTCCCTTTTTTAGGTGGCCTAACTAAAATATGCAGATTATGTTCGCTAGCTGCACAGAATAATGGAACGGATGCCTGTGTGGTTGTGGCACCAGTCCATCAACTTGGAGGGGCCTCGTTTCCCTTGAGGACTAGCTGGGGTTCTTGCCAAGCTTAGGACAGATGAATAATTCTACCCCATACACACTCAGCCCTGTTTTAAGTTCTAGACTCTGTTGTGTGTACCATGCTGAAAGTCTTAACAGGTTGTTTTTGATCAATTTGGAGATTTTCTGAACTGAGACGTAGATAAAATACATAATCTACATATCCAGGAAAAGCTAACATTTTTGATCTCATTAAAATCTATTTAGGTGAAAGTCTAAAAAGAAACCTATTGATTCAACTTCTTTAAAAAGATATATAGGAGTTAAACGCTTATTCCTGGCTACTGGGAAGGCTGAGACAGGAAGATCACTTGAGCCTAAGAGTTTTCAGCCATCCTGCGCAACAGGCAACACAGCAAGGTCCTGTGCCCACACAATGGGGGACATGGGATGCGTCTCAGAGAAAAAAGAACCTTTGTGGCCACTGGTAAATGAAAGTCATGTAAATTAGGAGTAAAAGTGTGATTCAGTGGTTAAGGGCACCTAGGTTCGGTTCCTTGTACCTACATGGCACTTCCAGTTCACAACTGTCTGTAACCCTCTCTGGCTTCCAGGGGCACCTGGCATATAGGTGGTGCACAAATATTCACACAGGCAAACACTCACACATGCTAACTAAAAATAAATCTAAAATATAAATAGTAAAAAATAAACATGTTTTTAAAATCACATAAAATGCTTCTTAGCACAATACCTGGAATGCAATGAGCATTCAACACTTTTACCTACAAGTTATTACTGTTGATATCATAGCTATTAATTCTGCTTTGCCCTTGTTTGCTCTATCTTTGGGCAGACTCTTATTAACCTATAAGAGTCATAATTTCTTTACTTCTATCTTATCAAATAAGGTTGGAATTAGTCGGCTTTATCGAAGTGATTTCATTGTTGTTATTCTAGGGTTAGGGACCAGGGTCCAAGTCACAGCATCAGCTGGGCCTCTTTAGTGTATCATTTGCCTAGCCCCTTTAGAGTAGCAGGACTGTAGATAAAACAGGATCTGAATAAAGTTACTTAGAAATGCCATTTATGATAAAAAAAATTACTTCCCCGATGCTGGAGATTGAACATAGGGCCAACCACTGAGCTATTATACCTCAACCCCTTCAGTTTCAGTCTTAAGCTGGAGTCCTCTGATTTTGTTCAGCATACCCTCCTTGAGTCTATGAGGCTAGGCCCTCCCTCTCCTTTACTTCATGGCTATGCAAAGCCAAGCAAAGAGGCTGAGAGGGCTTTGTTCCCATTGACCTCATTAGCTCCTATTATCCCATCTCTATACCCTTTCCCCTAGTTGGCATGAAGAAAGGAAATATTTGTTCACGTTAGGATGCTTCCTCCTGTACAGCACAGCCTAAGAACTGGGGCTCTACAAGAGAGTATGAGGTGCTCTTGGGAAAGAAGCCTTTCAGCACTGAGCACATACATTAGAGAAAGGCACAAGTATACAAACAATGGGGTGCTAAAGACAGTGGGGCACAACAAGAGCCAGACTGAGCAGAGCAGGCTTCAGGGAGATGCATTTGGACAATTCAACTGCAATGTGCAGGCCACAGACTGAATGGTGCTGTCATTTCTTTGCCTGGTCAAGAATCTCAACCAGCAGAGCATGGTGACAGGAGCCCAAGACAGAGGCAGGAAGATTTTGATGAGTTCAAGGCCAGCCTGGGCATAGTATAACTTTGTCTCAAAAAACCAGCCACCCTGGGCTGGAGATGTCTTGGCCCTGAAGAGCATGTGCTGCCCCTGCAGATCAGTCTGTTTTCCAGCACCCATGTTATGGCACTCTGAACTGCCTGTAACTCCAGCTCCAGAGGATCTGACACCCTCTTCTGAACCCCACAGGCAAGATCTGCACCTGTGTACACATACTCACAAACAGAGGCACATAATTAAAATCAAATTAAATCATAAAAAAGGCCCAAACTCCAACTAACCAACCAGAGGACTATACAGTAAGGACTGTAGGGTACCAACTGAGCAGTTTATATTATCCGCTCTCCCACAAATGAATTGAGGAGGGGACAGGCTGAGTGAGGAAGTCAGCACCCAGTCAACTGCAAGGGTTCCCCCTTCAGGGTCAGTTCTGGAGGTGGCACTTTAGGACTGGGTTACTTGGGAGGCAATAGATAACTATATTATTTAAGGTGACCAGGCCATCCCAGTCTCTCAATTTTGCTGGATCCTTCACTGTGGCAAAGCAGTATCTTTAAGGCTGGACTTCAGGAGAGAGATCACTCACCCTCCAGTGTCTGGGACCGAAAAAAAAAAAAAAAAAAAAAAAAAGAGGCCAATTGTGTTGTGTGGTTACAGAGGCCTCGTCTGGTGGCTGGGCCCCAGTTTCTGGCCTTCCTGGAGCAACACTGTCCAGTCACTGTGGAGACTTTCTACCCCACACTGTGGTGTTTTGAGGGACGGCTACAAACCATCTTTCGAGTCCTCCTGCAGTCTCAGCCTGAAGTCTCTTACCGGAGGTAAGAACAGTCAGCACATGAAGCTGCTGGGTCCTATGGGAGACTGATCCACCTCTTTAAATGAAGGCCATCTGTGCCCTCTGTGCTGAGCCCATGAGATTGGGCACCTACACAAGCTTAATAGCTCATCTATCCATTCTACATGGCCAGCCTTATTGCTTTGTATAAAGCATGACAAACTGAGAGCTTGTGAGTGAGCCAGAGGGTAGACCCCTGAAGTCCAATTCCTGATGGTATCTTTATATACCCATCTCTCTTAAACCCCAGTGAAGTCCTCCAGACCCCAGATGGAGGCCAGTTCCTTCTAGACTGGGCTGAGCAGTCTAAGAGCAGTCACTACCTGGACCCTACCACCCAGCCCATAGTACTGTTGCTTCCAGGCATCAGCGGCAGTAGCCAGGAGCCATACATCTTACACCTAGTTAACCAAGCTTTGAAAGATGGCTATAGGTAAGGTTGGGGTACAGAACTTGGGAAGGGAAAAGTGGATCTGAGCCTGATACAGCACTCTTCGGCAGGGGCCTTCCTGAAGACTACCAAAGGGGAGGGGCTTCTTGGGAGGGTTTGCCTCACATACCTGTGTTGCCCCAGGGCTGTTGTGTTTAATAATCGTGGCTGCCGAGGGGAAGAACTGTTGGTGAGTACCCTCCTTCCTTGTGGTGGCCCTGCACCTGCTCTCTGTAGAGATCACTGGCCCTAGGGCTCTGCCTACTTACCTACTCCCCTACCCTACCGAACTACCTCCCGAGCCCTTCCATTTGGTTGCTTTCTGGGAAGGGCCTCCCTCCCTAGCCAATGACCCAATTTGCCCCCAGACTCACAGGGCTTACTGTGCCAGCAACACTGAAGATCTAGAAACAGCTGTGAAGCATATAAAGTGCCGCTACTCCCAGGCTCCACTGCTGGCTGTGGGCATCTCTTTTGGAGGGTAATAGTTGCTTGGGTTTACTCCAAAGACCCATTGTCCATCTTCTGTCTCTTCCTCCTCTTCTGCCCCAATTCACTCAGGTCAACACGTTCCACAGCCTTTTCATCCAATTTTACAGGATACTGGTGCTCAACTACCTGGCACGGACAGGGAAGGCTGGAGGACTGGTAGCAGGACTGACAATGTCTGCATGCTGGGATTCCTTTGAGACCGTTGACTCTTTGGAAACCCCGCTCAACTCACTGCTCTTCAATCAGCCCCTTACTGCTGGACTCTGCCGGCTTGTGGCCAGGTAGGACAGCAAGTGCTTGGGTCAGTTTCACATGGGGCTTTCTTGATGAAGTAAGAAAACAGAAGCTGTGATCTCTGAGTTAGGGGCAGGAAGGAGTCCAGACAAACCCTGATGTATTCTCTTCCAGAAACAGAAAGACAATTGAAAAGGTGTTGGATGTAGACTTTGCGATAAAGGTATTTTTCAACCATCCCCTCACCCAGTGCTGGTCTCCTGTTGTCTCCTATTTTATGATATCATAGCCTGCCGTACCTCCACCACACAGGCCCGCACAATCCGCCAGCTGGATGAGCGCTACACATCTGTGGCTTTTGGGTATAAAGACTGTGCTGCCTATTACCAGGCCTCAAGCCCAAGAACCAAGGTAGATGCCATCCATACCCCAGTCCTTTGCCTCAATGCAGCAGATGATCCCTTCTCCCCAGGCCATGGTGAGTGGCTTCAACAATGAAGCCTTGACCCCCAGGCTAGTGAACCACAGATGTGGGTTGTACCTGAGGTGTGAGCCTGGGTTCTCATTGCAGGACAACTTTCTGACCTTTTCCTCTTGATTCCCTCCCAGCCTTCCCTCTGCAGGCCGCTCAACAGTCTCCCTATGTTGCACTGCTCATCACAGCTCGGGGGGGCCACATTGGCTTCCTGGAAGGACTGCTGCCCCGGAAGCACTGCTATATGAACCGTGTCCTCCATCAGTACGCCCAAGCCATCTTCCAGCACTACATGGAGCTGCCTGACCTTGGGGCACTCACTTCTGAAGATGGAAAGAGCTGACAAGAGAACTGCTTGGGGGGGAGGGGTCTCAGTTCAATCTTTCTTTGTTTATTAAATATCAACTCTTCCCACCTAATGAGCTGAGGGTCACTTTCCCCTTCCTCAGGCCCGAGTAGACGATTCAGGAGCTTACTGTACATGTGGCCTGACTGGGTTGGTGCTACCCACCTAAGCCCACAGACCACAGCTACCTGAGACTTCCTTTGCCTCTTCCTGCCCTAACAGCAAGTGCCAGCCCAGACTTTGTCTCAACAAAAGCCAAGGACCTCGTGTAATGGCTGTAAGGGGAGGAGTGGACACAGTTTCTATAAGAAGGATGGCAATGCCTCCAGGGTCTTGGGCATCTTCACATATTTCTAGAGAAGAGCTCAACTCTGGAGCCCTGGGAAGCAGAGGAAACAAGGCAGGTAGTGTGCCTGGGTTCAGACCACACTTTCCTAAATGGATCCACAGGTGATGAATGTAGGGCCCCAAGATCCACAGGGATGTGGGGCCACAGGCAAGCTCTGGCTAAGGGACACGCAGTACCCGCCAGTCTCATTGCAGGCAGCCTCAGCTGTGGACCTCAGTGATTCTGCTCTAGGAGGTGGCAGTGTCCAAGCCGAATTCTCATTGGTCAGGGAGGCTAAAGAAAACCTGGAAAGGCACTCTGGAGCAGCAGGATGGTCACAATAATAAGGCCGACACACATCAGCAGCAGTAGCCATACTGGAACACTCCCTGAGGATGTGACAAGGGAAGACGTGAGTGAGCCAAGGAGGCTCAGAGCTTAAAGACCAGAACCCCTTAACCAACCCCATTTATTCAAGGAGGGGCAGATGAGTGGATAAAAACAATCCATTTTCCAGGGGTCAATTTTTGCTATGGCTAAACATGAAGTGGTACCCCCAACACACAAAACATAACAGTGACTCACGCCGTGAGGGCAGCAGGTGCAACTGGCAACGACTATCCACAGCCACAGAGAAAAGAGCAGTTTCATGGGGTCCAAGAAGCTCTGGGCCACAACCCTTCTCAGGTAGAAAGGTTACATCTGTCACCACAATGCCATGGGCCTCCTTCACATAATAGAGGCGCTGGAGAAAGAGAAAACAAACAAGAAAAGCCTAGTTGGAGGCTCCTTTTTGGGACATATGTTCCACAGCCCCAGCAGCCTTCCTGGCCCATGGACTGGGCCAGACTCCTTCCTATACACTCAGGGTAGAGTAAGCCTGCAGCTCCCCACCCTCCATCCCCCATAGGGTTTGTGCCAACCTCTACTCATTACCTGGAGAGAGAAAGCTATATAGATGGCGACAGAGCCAGTGACCGTGCCTAAGCCTAGGAAGGTACCGGATTCACTGTAACAAATAAGAGTATTCGTTGTTCTGGAAGCTTATGCAGAAACCTTCTCACCCAACAGTGGTCCTCAAGAGACTGAGTCAGGACTCACTCCTGAGCTCCCTCAAGCACCCTCCTTTCCAGTTAAGCAACAATATCTCACACCTGACACTGAGGCAGGAGATGACTTCATGGCCACAGGGCCTGGTCCGAAGAGGCAAGAATGTGGAACTGTCCCAGGCTGTGAGGTAGCAGGGTGGGGGCTGACGCAGGCGCTTGTGGGGGATCTGCACTGTGAAGAGTCGCAGCCCCCCAGGTTGATCTGGAACCTTCCCAAACCTGGAAGCCGGGCAAAAGGTTTGTGCCTTCCTATATCCTGGTCACACTTGAAACCACCTCCAACATGGCTACAGCCACCCCCAGTTCCCCTCAGTCTCTTCCCACTTCCCCACTACAGCTGGGGTGTGTCTCTTCCAGCCATGCTCTGTGACCTTCATACCTGCAGGCCTGGTAGCGGTATGGTGTGTCAGAAGAGGCGGGTCCATTCTCTTGCCACTGTAGCTGTGTCACTAGTTGCTCCTTCTGCCACACAGAGGCCTTTAAGTCCCAGCCTACAGTCACCAACTGGGCAGGGGTAAAGATTCCAAATATGGACAGTTAGGACATCTACTTATGAGGCAAGCAGCACAAGAGCCCCCCTTTTCTGTACCAGTACCCCATACCCCCACCTCCTTACCTTGCCATCAGGACCCAAAGCCAAATCTCCAATCTCTCCTTCATGTGCTTTGAAATCCAGAACTTTCTCCAGGCTAGGTACCTACAGCCAAGCCAGCATCACAGTTTAGACCAGACGTAGCAAGAAAACTGCAATCTCCATCTCTCTTACCCCAATGGCCACTCATAAGTTTCCCAGAGTGCATATTCAGTCTCTCACAGTTTTGGAGTTATTGCAACTGACTTCCCTCTCCCTTAGGCCCCTAAAACCATACCTTCCAGACACGAACATGGCCATCAGTCCCTCCAGTAGCAAGCAGGGTATTATCGTGGTTGAAGCACACAACTTTCTGCAGTGGTTCAGTGCTAAAGTCTGTCTGTACTGCCTCCAAATTTTTTACTTTGAGTTCTACCCCTTCAGGGTGTACTTCTGCTCCAGATTTCTTCTCTGCTGGAGCTGCCCCCTTCCTTTGTCGAGGTCCCTGCTCCTTGGAACCTACAACACAATTTTCCAGGGTCCAGACTTCATTTGTTTTGTTTTTCAAGACAGGGTCTCTCTTTGTAACAGTCCTGGCTGTCCTGGAACTCGCTTTGTAGACCAGGCTGGCCTCAAATTCACAGAGATCTGCCTGCCTCTGCCTCCCAAGTGCTGATTTCTTTGGGGTTTCTTGTTATTGTGGTTGTTGCTTTTTAAAGACAGTGACAGAACTTACTATGTTCCCCAAGCTAGCTCTAAATATCCTCTTGCCTCCACTCCTAAGAAAGGAGATTGCACCACCACAACCTAGCAGAATCCAGGCTTCTGTATTAACTAGTATTAGTCCTTCTGTACTGACAGTACGGAGAGTGTTTTGGCGCTACTGAGACCCTACACCTAATCTCTCCTCTTTAGAGACCACGATTAGAGTGATTTTTCCAACGCTCCTCACCTGACTTCTCTGTTTTATTGCGCTTCTGTTGATGGACATGAAAACGTAGAAGCTGACATCGGGCATCCTGTCCGGCAGCAAGGATGTCACCAGCCAGTGCCAAGTTCATAGTGGCCCGTGTCTCTGTGTCATGAGAGTGTAGCAAGGAGGCGCTCAGGCAGCCATTGATTTGCTCTAGCTGCAGAAAGTGCTGGGAGGGAACCAACGTGGGCAAAGTTCAGGCGAGCCCGGAAGTCACATCAAGTCCTAGACTTAGTCGTTTAAGTCCTGTCTTAGTTGTATCCCTTGGCTTCCCGCGCCTCCATCTCATGGGGTTTGTTGTTGTTGCTGTTGTTAGAGCTTTATTTTCTTATTGGAGCTCTCCAATTAGTACAGCAAGTAGGGCTTAGATTACTAAATCCAGTTTACAGAAAGCAAGGAATCCAGGCTCGAGCTGCTTGAAGGCACATAAGACAGTGTGCCTTCCTGGAAAAGGCCAGAAAAGCAGCCCTGGACCAGCTCCCGCGGTCCTGCCTTCGCAGACCCGCACAGTTTCCAGGCTGTTATTTGGACGCCTTAACCACTCTTCTAAGGTGAAACCAGCACCCAGGCGTCTACGCCGGGTTTTCCCACTAGAAACAGGCAGGGCTTAAAGTAGGGGTACGACTCAGCCCTGCATCCCCTCCGCCCCGCCCCCGTCACCCCAGAATCGCCCTCGGGCACGGCACGCCACGGCACGGCACAGCACGACCCGTTCCCAGTTGCCCAGAGTTCTCACCACACCATTCTTGATGCCGGTCTTGGCGGCTCCTCCTCCGCCCGCAGCAATGAGCAGCCCGTTCTTGGGGTCCACCTGGAGCGCGTACAACGGGAACGGGGCCCGGTACAGCTCCACACCCCGGCGCCTGCCCATCCCGCACGCGCGTTCACTGCCAGCCCCGCGGAACCCACGACATGCCGCGCCCTGCCTTCGACCGCTGCCGAACTTGGTACCGCCGTCGCCGGGAAGCCTGAGGACCCCGCTCAGCCCCGCGGGCTCGCCACAGGTATCCGATCTGCGCTCGCGCGGCTGGAGCTCACTGACGCGCAGTGCGCACGCGCAGCGCTCCTCGGCTCTCTCCGCGCAAGCGCAGGACGCCAATCCGCGTCAGCACTAGCGGGACGCGCTGCCACGGAACCCTGGCAGCGGATCCGGTTCCTCGACCCGAATGACGGCCGATCTGCCATCTTTGTGTGGGGCGTGGGACGTGGGGCTGTAAGAGATTACTGAAGAACAGTAAACTTTGAATTAATAAGTTCTCCAATTGGGGCGGTCCCCACCTCCGGAGATGCTGCACGGACTCGTAGAAGAGAGGACCTTTACGTGTTACTCCGGAGAGGAAGTGTTTTCTCCCTGGGCACAGCGAGGCTTCAAATCATATTCACCGCGTTCTAATAATCCTAATATAAAGAAATCGCTCCCTCCGCCGCGGATTGACACCCAGCTCTGCAACAGAGAAGTTACGGGTGACAGTGGCTCCCCGACAGGTGTATTCTGTGTTGATCTGTGCCTGGTATCTCACCCCCGCCCTTTTAAAGATTGTTCCCTCCTTTCTCCCCGCCTCTCCCGCGTGCGTGCTTCTTGCAGGTGCCCACTGGAACTCGGGTTACAGTCGTGAGTTGCCATGTGGGTGCTGAGAATTGAACCCGAATCCTTTGGAAGAGCAGCCAGGGCTCTTAACCCCTCAGCCATCTCTCCAGTCCCCCTCCCCCCCGCCAATCCCCGCTACCATGGTGGAGGTTCCACCCAAGCCCCCTTCCCTATCTCCCTCCAAACCCCGCCGCAACTCAGAAAGCCCGCCAAATGACGGCCCCTCCCCCAGAGAGGTTCAAGACTCCTCCCACGGGGTATTTAAACTGCCCTCCAGAAAAAAGACTCGAGGTTTTCCGGGTCTCTCTTTCCCGTCTCCTCTCGGGCGGGGTTGGGGGGAGGGTCTGGAAGACCATCAGAGAGCGCTGTATCCATTAAACGTGGGCTTTTTCTAATTCAGTCTATCTGGTCTGATTTGGATTGCTGCATCGGCGGAGAGGCTTATCAGGGTGCAGACACTTTTCACCCTTCTGAGGGAGCCTTCCGGTCTGAGTGGGATTCCTGCGTTGGCCTGAGGATGAGTTGCTATCAGTGTCTTTCCCTATGAGGAAAACGGTCTGCTGCCTGTCAACTGACTGTCCCCTGAGGAATGGGCCCAGTGGCCTAATCTTTGATTCCAATTATCTGTCAACAGACTTGAATTAAACATGAGAAGGGCCTTTCAGAGGCCTCTAAGCACCTCAGGTATCGAGTATATGGCACTTGCTGTCTTTGAGATTTCTTTCCCTCCAGCCTTGTTGGGGACTGGCCTTATTCTATAGCTGTCGATTCCATCCTGTGGGTGCAGTAGGACACAAACCCGAGATTCTCAGGGTTAGGCTTTATTGGATACACTGAAGGCTGAATGGGGTCCCGGGTGCCTCCGGTCCTCTTCAACCAGGGGAGAGCAGACTCCACAAGGGGTTCCCAGGGTTCAAGGCTGGAGAACACACCTGGCCCCCTGCCAGCCAGCCCTTCAAGGTGTTTCTGTGGCTTCCCAAGGTCTGAGACGACCTGGTAGGGAGGGTAGGGTTTGGAGGGGGTGTTCCAGAGGGTCTGCGCTGCTCTGGAATTAAGATGGCGACTTTCGAAGAGTAGATTCTGGAGACCTCTTTGGGGCAGGAGAAGGCCTGGGCTTTGGGAGGGCAGTGGCCTGTCTTGGTGCCTGAGGTGGAGGCCTGGAACACTGGTTGGATTTTGGTGGTTGGAGGCCTGCAGACCTGAGGCTCCCGACTTGGGAGAGTGTCCCGGTGACTTGAGCTGCTGGTGCCTGGGTTGCCGGAGTTTGACTCCTGAGGACCTCTCCCTGAGGTCTTACTCCCCGCCGCTTTTTTTCTGGCAGCAAATGCAAGGCCTTGGCCTGGCCCCGAGGCAAGCGGAGGCCGAAGCCGATGCCTATGCGGAGAGGCCCAGAATCCTGGCCCTGGGTGCAAGGCATTAGTAGTTGAGGGAAGGCAACCAGCCGCGGCCCTGTCTTGTACTTGGGGATGGGGCAAGATGGGGTGCGGGGCTGGAGGCACACTAGACAAACGGGATACTCTACGACTGGGGCCTGGTGGGTTGGGCCTAGCCACAGGCGCTGCAGAAACAGCAGCTGCAGGTCTCGTGCAATTCTGCGGTGCCCCACATGGACGACTAGGGCTCGGGCGAGGGCCCCTGGGTCCTTGAATTCTGCAGGGTCCACCTTGCTTGCCACGCATCCCCCTGCCTCCCCAGGGGACCTGGTGTTTCTGGATTGAGGCCACTGCCATGTTTGTTTGTTACTGGGAATCCCTCGAGTAGGTGAGCTGGGGCTGGGGGAAGTGATCGTGGGACTATGAACGTCCTGGAGGTGGGAAGGAGACTGGCAAGGGCCAGGAGGGGAATTTTGTACCTGGGAAAGAGAAGAGGAGCAGCGGGTAAGAGGAGGAGACAGACAGAGCTGGTAGTTGGGGGAAGCGGATGAGTGTGGAGAGGGAAGACAAGTGTAGTTTTGATTAAAGAAAGTGGGGGAACTAGGGAGAGACGAAGAGTATGGGAGAGGAACAAAGTCAGAATTTGAGTCAGAAGAGAAGAAGTGAGAGCCAGGAGAATGGGGCTGTGGCAGAGTAGAGAAGGGGAAATAGGCCTGTGTGGGAGAGGGCAAAGGAAGGTGGGAAGGAGGGAGGGACTGGTGGGGGGAGAGAGATGCTAAGTTGGATAGAGGGGAGTCCAGGAACTGTGAGAGGACCTGAGGGGGACACCCTGGCGGCACTGTGTTCTGTAGCAGCGCCTGGCCCTTGTTTTGAGGCAACATTGCCTTGAATCCAGGAAAAAAGTGGGTGGGGCAACAAGACCAGTGATTAGAGACCTAACAAGTCAGTGTGGGGATCTCTGAGGCCAGTTGTGGCTGGTACACAAGACTTCCTTCTGCCCTGGCCTGGCTGCTGCCTAGTTTTGCTACAGGCGTCAACAGCAGGCCAAGGGGACACGAAGCCCCTTCTACTTGGCTCTGGTGTGCTCAGTCCAGAGCTTGTATCTAAGCTTGGCTCTTCACTGTTTCTTAGCCATTTGCTAGGGATGTACAGAAATGGGGAATGAGAGCTGCCCCTTGGGAGCCGAGGGACAGTGGTAGCTTTGTGGGTGGAACCCGGAGGAAGACACAGTCTGTAGGACCTGCGGAGAAAAAGACAGAGGTCAAGGTGTTGGAATGACTGGTCCACTTCTGGACTCTGTTTCGGGCGCTCAGTTCCAGTGTGAACTCATCAAGACCCCAGATGTGAGGTCTTCGAAGAGAGCTTGCCTAGCATGCATGAAGTCCTGGTGTTGATCCCCAACTGCACAGAAATGTGACATGCTGACACAAGCCTGTAATCCCAGCAGGGACACAAGGAAATCAAGGCCAGCCAGCCTGGGTTATATGAATCTCTCAAAATAACAACAAAGACACTAGCTGTTCATCACCTTTGAAGTCAGAAAACCTGGCAAAAATGCTCCAGAGAAGGCAAAAGAGTGAAGCAGATTGGAAAGATAGAGGATAGGATAGAGTCAAGAGAGGCAGCTTAGGGTGTAGGGACCAAGATGAGAAAGGAACGGAGGATATTGTGCAGTGAGTTTTACCAAAGTGGATTCCTTCCGCTGCTTCGCAAGACACGTCATCAAATAGGGGACCTGGGAAAGAAAGCAGAGTCACAAAACAGTCTGTCGGTCTCCCCCCTCCGCCTACAACCTCTGACCCCCTCAACAGACCCTGACCCAGAATTCCAGTCTGAGAGGTGCGCTCCGTCTGTTTTCAGCCGGAGATCTTCTGTGGTACAGGCTTTTGCCTTTCTATCCCTGACACACAGATTTTGTAACCATCCTGACTTCCTGGCATACTGACTTCCCCTGACCTCTTGTCACCCTTCAGACTGGTCTCTCTCTCACTCAGCCTGGCCTCGGCTGGGATGATTGTCAGACACAGTGGCAGCAACAGTATAGTGAGCTGGTAAAAAGACTCCAAAAGACTGAGGCTTTGCCTAAGGGGTGGCGTTGCCGCCCCCCAGTGGGAGCTGAGGGGCTCTTTCCCTGGAAGTAGCTCTAACATCAAAAACCTATGTCACAGAGGTCATAATGACATCTGGAGTCCTTACACTTAGAGAGCAAGCATTCCCTCTCTGAGCCATCTCCCCCGCCCCCTCCCCCCAATGCTCTGGATGTTGCTCTCAGGGACTGCACCAAGGCTGTTTTGGTAAAATTGTCAAGTAGACAGAATTGTTGGATACACACCCACAAACCTAGCTCTGCCTCTTCCCCTGATCACTCCCCAGGGGTCTGAGCCTTCCAGCATCCTCCTTGGCTTCCTTTCCAGGAAAGTAGCTGTGTTCCATAGCCTGTTGTCCTTGGGATATTACTATATGTTTTAATAGCTGTTTTTAAAGATGTTATTTATTTAGATGTGTGTGTTTCTGCCTGTGTACATGTATGTCGTTTGTGTTCACGTGCTTGTGAAGGCCTAAAGAGGGTGTCGGATCTCCTGGAGCTAGAGTTTTAGTTAGACAGTAGTAGTGGTGAGTTGCATGAACTCCAGTCCCCTGCAAGAGTCCCCAGTGCTCGTCACTACTGAGCCCTCTCTCCAGTCCTTGCTTTTATTCTTTTATTCATTGTATGTGCATGGACACTCACATGGCATAGCACATATGTGGAAGCCAAAGGACAGTTGGTTCCCTTCTTCCACCCTGTAGGTCCTGGGAACCAAACTCTAGTCATCAAGCTTGATAGCCTCCAGGATCCACCTGTCTCTATCCCCGAGTGCTGGGGGCTTAGAGACGTGAGTCTCCAAGTCCAGGTTTAATGTGGGATCCCAGTTCATGCTTTGTTTTGTTTTTGGTTTTTCGAGACAGGGTTTTTTTATCTGCTGAGCTGTCTTGCTGGCCCTAATATTTTTTTATTGTCACTTTTTTGGTGCTCTGAAGCATTGCCACCCCAAATAATGCACCATAACAAAATTAGGAGTGAGTAAGAGGCATGACTTATGTAAAACTGGGGAAGGTGAGGCTGGGAAGATGGTAAAGCGCTTGTACAAGCATGAACTGGAGCTGGGCAGTGGTGGCACACACCTTTAATCCCAGCACTCGGAGGCAGAGGCAGGCGGATCTCTGTGAGTTCAAGACCAGCCTGGTCTACAAGAGCTAGTTCCAGGACAACTTCCAAGCCACAGAGAAACCCTGTCTTGAAAAACCAAAAACAAAACAAAACAAAGCATGAACTGGGATCCCACATTAAACCTGGACTTGGAGACTCACGTCTCTAAGCCCCCAGCACTCGGGGATAGAGACAGGTGGATCCTGGAGGCTTGTTGGCCAGCCACCCTAGCTGAAATGGTGAACTCCAGGTTTAGTAAGAAACTCCATAAGTACAAATAAGGGGACTGCAATATGTACAAACACCCGACACCTCTGAGCTTTGCATGCACATAGGGCAAATGCACCCTTTCCTCCGTACTTCTCCCCTGTACACACATGCACACAATGCGGGAAGGGCACTTTTAAAAGGGCCTGTGGAGAAATAGCAAGCTCTTAAAAACTTCAGCCATATCAGTTTTAGGAAGGAAGGAATATAGAAGTTGAGGTCTCACCACCAGGACTAAGACTTGACTTTCAGCACAAAACCCTACAAAAAGCTGGGCGTTGGTGGCGCATGCCTTTAATCCCAGCACTCGGGAGGCAGAGGCAGGCGGATCTCTGTGAGTTCGAGACCAGCCTGATCTACAAGAGCTAGTTCCAGGACAGCCTCCAAAGCCACAGAGAAACCCTGTCTAGAAAAACCAAAAAAACAAACAAAAAAAACAAACCTACAAAAACCCAGATAAACTGGGCTATTTGGTTACCTCACTATTTAAGACTTTTTGGAAAGTGTTCATGTTCAGGGATATGAGGACCATTATTTAAGATTGTTCTTATTATAATATTTGCTGTCTTTTGATATTCATAATGAATCCTAGTCAACCATACATGAATTTATGCTACCATGATGTCTATTGGAGGACCCATAGTCACCACAACAATGGAAACTTATATTCAGAAGATCAAACCAGGTGATTAGAAGGACACAAATTTCAGCCCTATTTACTGACCTTGAGGGAGGAGAGAGGAACTTGACTCTGAATTAAGTCACCAATGGCCAATAGTGTAATCACTGTGCCTGTATGATGGAATCTTCATTAAAATAAAAAAACCCTAAAAATAGGGTTCAATGAACCTCTGGGTCGGTGATCTCATGGAGGTGCTAGATGGATGGATGGTGTGCCCAGAGAGGGCAAGGAAACTGGGCATCCCTCCACGTTACCTTGCCCTCCACATCTCTTCCCTTTGCCCGCTCCTGGATTCTATCCTTTATGACAAAAGAGAAAGTCTAAGGAAGCAATAAGCCTGAGTTCTGTGAGATGCTCTGTCAGACGACAGAGGAAGTCATGGGAACTTCTGATTGACAGGTGGTTACTTAGAAGTGCAGGTGGCCCATGACTCAAAGCTGTAATCTGACGATCCTTTGGGGTCTGTCCCTTTGATCTATGGGTACATGGTGCTGGAATTTCCCTGAATTGTTGGACACCCAATTGGTGTCTGGAGAATTGGAGAAGCTATGTCAGAAAACACCCCATAGTTGGTTACGGAAACATCAGAAGGAACAGAACTTCTCACTGTGAGAAGTGAGGGAAACTCCAGTTCACACTGACTCAGGTTCACACTGACCCTGCTTCTCTTATTTTGTGTTATAATTACTGTTATTAAAATATTATTGAGTACGGTGGGCAGTAGTGACACATGCCTTTAATCCCAGCACTTGGGAGGCAGCAGCAGGTAGATCTCTGTGAATTCAAGACCAGCCTGGTCTCCAGAGCGAGTGCCAGGACAGCCAAGGCTTCACAGAGAAACCCTGTCTTGGAAAACAAAATGTTGAGCAAGTGAAAGGAAGTCCCCTAAACATTTGGCATCCAGGTTGTAATGCAGTTGTTTTAGTTCACTGGTCATTTCCTGTTGTAGATATTATCAGCCACATACTCTTCCCACCCAAATTCCTCCAACTCCAGACTTGAGAACATCATGTTCTATTTCTTGTAAACGTTCTACTCTGAAACCTGCAGAGAGTTATTGAGAGGATGGATGAATAAGCTAAATGTAGTTGGCCAAGAGCATTTGACCCTGTCACCCTTCCTTCCCTTTTATATCTTGTTTTTATGTGTGTGGGAGGGAGAGTGAGGTGCACGTGTGGTCAGAGGACAGCTTCGAGGAGTCAGGAATCACTTTCCGCCTCTTCCCCTTCACAAAGTGCCTTCATATTTATTACTGAGCCAAATCAACTTACTCTTGTAGAGCAGATAAACACCAACTCAGGTTGATTCCTTTATCATGTATGCAGTGTTCTGCCTACCTGTATAGCAGAAGAGGGCCTCCGATCCCACTATAGATGGTTGTGAGCCACCATGTAGTTGCTGGGAATTGAACACTGGACCTCTGGAAGAGGAGGTAGTGCTCTTAACCACTGAGCCATCTCTCTAGAGCCTCAATTCAAGTTCTTAATTAATGCCCAAATCTCCTAAAGTGGGAACTTTCAGCTTTACCTGGTAGGATTGCTCGTTGGCTGAAAACAACTGTGGTACCATGACGTGTAAACCTTTACAGGCCCACCCTGGCTGGCTGTCCTTAAGTGTCACCTCTCATAGAGACACCTTATTTTCTTATCAGTTTACATAAGAATCCTTTGATGGCTGGGCGTTGGTGGCGCACGTCTTTAATCCCAGCACTCGGGAGGCAGAGGCAGGCGGATCTCTGTGAGTTCCTGGCCAGCCTGGTCTCCAGAGCGAGTGCCAGGATAGGCTACAAAACTACACAGAGAAACCCTGTCTCAAAAAAACAAACAAAAAAGAATCCTTTGATGAACTGATGGCTTTGATGAACTGATGGCTTTTGCTTTTGTTTCTTGGCCAGAAATCACTTGATTCTGAAACTGCTGGGAGAAGACATGTTGAAAAACCAAATGCACAGCCCACGGTAGCAGAGGAAGGAATAGCCTATCCTGTTGTTTTGTTTTGTGTTGTTATTTTGTTTTGTTTCTCAAGACAGGGTTTCTCTGTGTAGTCTTGGCTGTCCTGGAACTCACTCTGTAGACCAGGCTGGCCTCCATAACTCTGTAGACCAGGCTGGCCTCCATAACTCTGACCACCAGTCTCACCCTGCTCTTACTCACTGTGTCTTTTAGATGCTGTATTCTTTTCTTTGTTTTTCCTTCCTTCCTTGCTCTTTGTTGTGTCTCCTCCTTTCCTCCTCCTCCTGCTCCTCCCCTTCTTTGTGGGGAAGATATTCCTAGGCTGTCCTGAAACACACTGTGTAGCTCAGGCTGCCCCCAAATTGAGGCAATCTTCTGCTTGCCCTTTTCTTTCTGACTGTCTGCCTTCCTTCATTCTTTCCCTTCTTTAAACAGAGCCTCACACTCTATAGCGCACACTGGGAATCATACTCAAGGCCTCAAACACTCTCAGCAAACACTGTCACACGCACATTTCTCAGCCTGTGACACTGCTTTTCACTGGGTAGCTCCTCCACTGAAGATGTGTATCTGAGGTAGAAGTCTGAGAGGCTGCAAGTTTTCATGACTGTGACTTTGCAGCCCTCCCAAGGGGTGAGCACTGACAGTAGAGGAGCCTTTTGAAGGTGTCCAGGCTGCCTAATTCCGAAAACATACTTAGGTACAGTCCTTTTCCTGCTGCTGGCTTTAATACTTTTTCCCTCCCTACACTGTGTCCTTAAAGTTAGTGAATCCTACCAGGATTGGCAAAGTTGGCGTGAGACCTGTCTCCTTTCCTGATGGGTGAGTTCCTGTGGAGAGAAAGGACTCCTGTGTGATCAGGGCTGTTGTGGAATCTCTGTAAATCTAGCTCTGGCAAGATTCAACTTCTAAAGGGCTCTGAATGGATGCTTCTGGAAGAAGGCCCTTCTAGGAAAGAAACGATTGCATTGAAAGCTAAGAACTTTCCCTTCATCCCACAGCACCTCTAGCCCCACTGCTTCCTAGATTTGACATTGTCCTGTAATCCCAGCAGCACTTGGTAGATGAGGCAGCAGGACTGGTGCGTGTTCAAGGCCAGCTTAAAGGATGTAACAAGTTTCTGACCATCCAAGACTGTACAGCAAAACATTATCAAAAAGAAGGCAAAGCAAAGTACAACAGTCAAGTTATTTCATCTCCCCACATCACAGTTTCCCCCATCAGAAACAAGTTCCAGAAGGCTTTCTGGAACTTAACTGACCAGCTGGCCCAGCCTAATCAGCAAGCCCAGGTCCCAGTGAGAGAGACTGTCTGAAAATGTGTGTGGGGAAGTGATGTGATTATATTTTAATTAAAAATGTTTAAATGAAGGCTGGAGAGATGGCTCAGAGGTTAAGAGCACTGGCTGTTCTTCCAGAGGTCCTGAGTTCAATTCCCAGCAACCACATGGTGGCTCACAACTGTCTGTAAGGAGATTGGGTGCCCTCTGCTGGCCTGGAGGCAGACATTCAGACAGAATACTGTATACATAATAAATAAATCTTTTTTTTTTCCTTCAGTTTTTGAGACAGGGTTTCTCTGTGTAGCTTTGGAGCCTATCCTGGCATTCGCTCTGGAGACCAGGCTGGCCTAGAACTCACAGAGATCCGCCTGTCTCTGCCTCCCAAGTGCTGGGATTAAAGGTGTGCGCCACCAACGCCTGGCTAATAAATAAATCTTTAAAAAATGTTTAAATGAGGTAGACAACACCTGAGGAAAGACACTGGAAGTTGACCTCTTAACCCCACATGCTTGTGCACACAGGTACACACACATGCACACACACACACACACACACACACACACACACACACACACACACGCACAAGCGTGTGCTCTCTTTTCTTTATGGTTGCTCTGGAGAATAAATAAGATATTCATATAAACTGCAGATGCATCTAGTGTGCTAGGAACATCAAAGTGTTATTAGGATATTAGCCAGGTTGTGGACCTGCCAATCAAGCAGGGATACAGGTTGTTGGCAGGACATAGCAGAGCCCTAAAGATGGCATCATTCTCCTGGAATCCTGGGAACAAAGCACCACATTTGAATTGGGAAGCATGTTTGAGGGGTGGGGAGTAGCACCTTGTCACACGCTTTTTGTGGGAGGAAGAAAGGCCACTGTGAGATATATATTGACAGTTTCTGACTCAAAGGCTGGAGACCCAGAGCTCCAAACCTGAAGCAGTAGGTCCATTAGAGGATTACTGTGTTAGGGTCAGTCATAGCATGGAAGGGCACTCTCCTCTTAGCCCTCTTCTGGCCTTCTTAGCATGGGTCTTGTCCTAGGCTCAGCCACTCCCGGCATGCAGCACCCCCACCTCTTAGCTGGGATGGGAGGCAGGCGGAGGCTATTTGCGGGGGCTGTGCCGGGTGGGCAGTTTTCCCAGAGCTAGGAGTGAAGGATTGAGTTGGCGCCGTCTTCTTCAGATACAGACTCTGCAGGCTGGATGGCCAGCCTGTCCAGGCTAGCTTGAGTCCAAGGGCTCCCTCAGGCTTTGGATTACTGCTCTAGGGGCTATAGCCCCAGACTTCAAGAGAGTGGCATGTCACAGCAGGCCACAGGGGTACCGGTCATGCCAAGAGCAGGGCATGGCCAGACTAAGGCCAAAGCACTTCTAGGCACTGACAGGAAGAGGATCCGCCTCAGCAGGACAAGGCAGGACCTATGGGACGACACTAGCTGGAGTAATCACAGATCGAGCAGAGCCACCTCTGCCCCTCGAGGGACCAGAGCTAAGGGAACAGCTCATGGCAGGGTAAGGACATGAGGAGGGACTAGAGGAGGGAACTGGGGAAGGAAGGGTTTAGAGGGCAGTGAGACGCCATCTCTAAGGGCAAAGCCCCAGTTGGTATTTGATGGCTCCGCCCAAGAGCAGGGTGCTGGCTCCTTAGACCCATGGTACCATGCTGAGGTGGGCAGGACAGGTCAGAGCTCCATTGAGCACATCTCAGAGAGTTGATCTAACTAATTTCTATTGAGAAACTCAGGCCCCAACGAGGGATGTGAATTGCCTAATATCTCTGACCAGTCGCCATCAGCAGGGGACCTGGACTGAGTTTTTTGTTATTTATTTGTTTATTTATTTTTGAGGCAGAGTCTAATGTAGCCCAGACTGGCCTCAAACTTCCTCTGTAGCCTAGAACTTAGACATCTTATTTTTTGCCTCCACATTCCAAGTGCCAAGAGTGTGTGTCAGCACACACGGTTTATGCTGTGATAGGAACTGAACCCTGGGCCTCATGCATGCTTGGTAAATAGTCCAATTGAGCTACATCCCCAGCCCAGGACTGTGTGTTTTGACCCTTGGTGCAGAGTCTTTCTCTTTTTACCATGGCAACCTCTTCATCTCAGGACCTAGTTGAGTCAAAAGTCAGCTAAGCAGGGGCATGGGGCTCTGTGGTTCTTGTGGTCCCCAGGGTACCCTGACAAGCAGGATCCAGACTTGGTAGTGGAACAGATGTTGGTGGAATAGTAGAGAGAACATGGGACTCTTGGGTTCTGAGCCAAGTGTTGCCACCTTCCTGTCATCTGATCCCAGCCCAGGCCTTCCTTCATTTGTATTATAAGGCATGGTTTAAAACTAGTGAGTCCCATTAGCTCCAGAAGATGACACGGGACTAATGGGCCCTTAGAAGTCAAGGTCAAATAGGCATGGTGGTGTACCCCTACAATCCCAGCATTTGAGAAGTAGAAGCAGGAGGATCCCAAATTCAAGGTCATACTGGGATGCATGAAACTGTACCAATAATAGCAACAATAACAGGGTTAGATGGGACTCTGGGTCTGATGCACTCAAGGGGCCCTTTCTGCAGAGCGAAGCCAGCCCTGAGAATGCAGCTCGGGAGCGAACCCGGGTGAGGACGCTGCGCCAGGCCTTTTTGGCCCTGCAGGCTGCTCTGCCCGCTGTACCACCTGATACTAAGCTTTCCAAGTTGGATGTGCTGGTGCTGGCCACGAGCTACATAGCCCACCTCACCCGGACCCTCGGCCATGAGCTGCCTGGTCCTGCCTGGCCGCCCTTCCTGCGTGGTCTCCGGTACTTACACCCGCTCAAGGTAGGTCACTGGCCTAGGGCCTTGGTGGGGAACCTTGGGGAGGGAATGGGAATTGGGGTCATTTTCTTCCTGTTCTCTCAGGAGGACCGAGGCTGGCTCTTGTGGTGAAATGGTGACCTGGGAGTGTGTGCATGGCACTGTGATTGCTTCAGGAGGCGGGAAAGCATTCTGAGATTCTTGGTGTCTGGGGAAGAGAGGAGTGGGTTCCTGGCTAAGGCCCAGAACCCAGGAGAGTCATCCATCTCCAAGCAGCTTCCCCCCCTCCAGTAGCGCCTGCCTTTCTGCTCCCACTACTGCTGCTGCAGACATCTGCTGTTTGGGAGAACAACATCCTAAAACCACAGTGCTCTCGAAGCACCCAGATTGGAGGGCTTCCAGCATGCACCATGCCAAGCCCATACCCAGTTTTCTTGCACCACAGGAAGTGAGGAAGGAGCCGGCCATCTCTACTGGAGTACAAAATGAATGAAAAGTATCGTTAACAATAATTATGAATGAAAAGGGTAATTAACAATAACCACACAGCAGTAACAGCCACAGTGACTGGACGCTAAAGATAAGCCAGAGGCTGAGTTCAGAGCTTTAGAGCATTCTTATCTCTTGGCCCTGCAAGAACCAAAGGAAGATTTACAGAGGAGGGCAGGAGACCCGAGGGCAGGGAGGGCAATGGGCCGGGTTCAGTTTGAACTGACTGCAGACCTCTCCATCTTGGCCACCACCAAAGGCCCCAAGGCACTTCAAAGGACCCTATGTAGAGTGTGTACTGTGAGGCAGGTATGGTGGGCCACATTCGTAGTCCCAGTACTCCAAAAACCAAGGCAGGAGGATTGCAAGCAAGTTCCAGTCTGGCAATGTAACAAACAAACAAAAACGAACTTGCAGTATTATAAAGGAACAAGGGAGGGGGGATTGAACTCAGGACTTGGAGCATTCTGGCCAAGCACTCTATCAACCGAGTCACATGTTGACTTTATTTTTTATGATGGACACTTTTTTTTTAAAAGATTTTATTTATTTATTATGTATACAACATTCTGTTTCCATGTATATCTGCACACCGGAAGAGGGCACCAGATCTCATAACGGATGGTTGTGAGCCACCATGTGGTTGCTGGGAATTGAACTCAGGATCTCTGGAAGAGCAGTCAGTGCTCTTAACCTCTGAGCCATCTCTCCAGCCCCCCCCCCTTTTATTTTTTATTTTTCGAGACAGGGTTTCTCTGTGGCTTTGGAGGCTGTCCTGGAACTAGCTCTTGTAGATCAGGCTGGTCTCGAACTCACAGAGATCCGCCTGCCTCTGCCTCCCGAGTGCTGGGATTAAAGGCGTGTGCCGCCAATGCCTGGCATGATGGACACTTTTTATCGTCTCTTTCTCATACGTACCGTTCTTCTGAAATGTCTTGAAACTTAGGTGCTTGTTTCTTGAGAATATAGCTGAAATACAAACTTCTGAGATTAAATGGGGTCAGTCTAAAGTGGTAAAGGTAGCACTGGACACAGGGCCATAGGGTAACACAGCAAGGTTCTTATCTGTTAAACGGTGGTGGGTATAAAGCCCATGTGAGCAGTAAACAAACAAAGGATGTGCTGATGAGCAAACAGAAGAGGGGGGGGGAGAAGACAGCCTAGGTCTAGAACTCTGCAGATAGTGAAGAAAAGCACTATGCCCCCTAGCGGGGTTGATAGAGAAGACAGACCGAGCAGAGCAATCCTTGCCTGTTCATTCATTATCTGTTTATATATTTATTTTTCAAGACAAGGTTTCTCTGTGTGGGTTTTTCTGTGTGTAGCCCTGGCTGTCCTGGAACTCACTCTATAGACTCACAAAGATCCACCTGCCTCTGCCTCCCGAATGCTGGGATTAAAGGTGTGTGCCACCACTGCCCAGCTATCCTTGCATTTTCTAAAACCTCCCTTGATCCCTAAGGGAAGACCTTGATATCCTTGCAGGATGTGAGCTGAAGAACCCAATCCTCATTCCCTTCTATGTCTCCTACTGCCTTACCCAGAGCACCTGCCTACCTCTTCCTCAACCAAGTCCTGCTCTTCTTAAGGTCCTCGCTGCCCTCAGTGGACTCCTCCTGTGCCTCTGTCTAAAGCTGTGATATTCAAACAGGGGGTGCCTGTTTAAGGTGATAATGGTTCTGGGCTATTCGGGGCCACAGTATCTGTACTAACCACTCCCCATTTGTGTCTTTTCAGAAGTGGCCCATGCGATCTCGTCTTTACGCAGGAGGCTTGGGATGCTCCAGCCTTGATTCCACTCCAGCCACTGCTGCCAGTCAGAGAACCAGGGATGAAGAGGTGGGGGCCCAGGTCTCTGTGGCCACAGATATTCTCCTTCTCTCTGATCCAGTATCTCCATCTCCTGGTAACAAATGACCAGCACACTCTCAGACTGTGACTCTCACTAAAGGATCTGTTTTTTCCCCTGACTCTCAGCCTTTGAACTTGACTCAGGCTCAGCTTTCAAGTTCAGGCTCCACTTCCAGCAGGGCGGAAGAAGCAATGGTGGCGACAATGGTAGAGACTTCTGAGGGAACCCAGGATGAAGATAAGGCTTGGCTCTTATAAGGGGACATTCCTGGCACTTCTACGGTAGTGACAGGAATTGAAAGAGCAAAGTGTTTGACATGGATCTAAGTCAAGTTAGGGAATCACATTCCCCTTTCTTTCCTAGGCCTCTTCACACAACAAGACAGAAATTACCCTGCTGGCACAGGTGGGGAAGGCTAGCAAAGCTGCAGCCCCGGGTGCTCATGCGCATATAGGGGAACATGAAGGGCTTTTGGTAGCAGTGAGTGTGAACATCTCTAGGTCACAAGGTAACAAACTAGAGAGGAAACTGAAGAATGGAGGGTGATTTTTTTAATTTGCCCTCCAAGGTTCTTATCCAACATCAAAGAGGCAGAGTTTAGGGTCCTTGTCCCTGGATTATGGTCTCTCCAGTTGCCCCCCATCAACACATCCCCCCGACGGGGGCCCTGCATCCTTTCATATTTTCTTTCCTAGCATGAGCTCTATCTAGAGACGAAGCCATCACACTTACATGGTTGACATTCCAGGGGAACTTAGCTAGTCCTAACTGTCTGAGGGGAGATCATTTTATCCCAAAGGCATCTCGACTTTCACTCAATGAGGCAGCCATTCACAGCCCTGCCTACAAAGGACATTGTCGGTACACTCAGCTATCCCCTTAAAGGGCCTAAAACGAAGCATGTATGTCTTTCTCATGGGATGACAACCACAATGTTCATTTCTGTTATGTTAGAAACCTCACCTCAAGGGGATACAAGACAAGGTGGGCTTTAACATGTTCTCTATGCCATCATGGATTGGGGATTCACCACAGGCATTGACATCCCAGGCTCACCCAGAGTCCTGGTAGAGGGTGCCAAAAATTTGCTAGAGCTTTGTAATATTTGTCCTTGGCCCTGAAGAAATAATTGGAGGACAAAGCACACAATGAGATGGGTCTTCCAAGTCAGGTGTAGTTTCAGATTGGGCCCTGAGGTCTAGACATGGAAGAACAGCCTTCCTGACAAACTTCAGTATCTGAGGCCAACTAGAATCCCAACAGGGCGATCGGGCAGGCTAGAAGGGACTGGGTCTGCTCCTCCATAGGGCTGACCAGGGGAAAGGGGGTTGGGGGGGAGGTGACTCAGCGAGCTGTGGTGGAGCTAGAAGACACAGAACGTCCCAGACTGAGCTGCATGGACGGGGAGAACAGCTGGGCTGTGGCTGGGAGCCATTGCAGAAGGCTTCAGCCAAGGCCAAACACATAAATCTGCCTGGTCCCACATTTCTGCTAGGAGACCCTGAGAACTTGTACAGAGCTGATGCGGGCAGCTGGACGGGGCCAGGCAGGGGCAGAGACCAGGTGTGGGAGGGCAAGAACAGCATTCTTCACAAGACCATAAAAGTCCAGCCCTGGGGGTTCTATTTTTAAAACCAAATAGCACCATCTCCCTGGTTGAGCTGAAGGGTGGTAAAAAAGGCGTGTCCATGATTTCCTCCCAGTCAGTGGCATATGATTGGTCTTTGGGCAGGCAGGGAATTGGCTTTGGGTTTGTGCTGGGAGTCCCCTCACAGCCTAGAGCATCTTCCAGTGATTGGGTAGAGTTTGATTTAGAGCTATCAGTGTGCACCCTGTCCAGACTCAAGCTTTGGCCTCACTGTGACAAACCTCTCAGGGCTGAACACGTAACAGCACCCTGGTGGAGAAGACTAAGAGGATAAAATTGGTAGAGGATTGGGTTAAAGAGAGCAAGCCTATCAGGAGGAGTTGGGTTTTTGTTTTGTTTTTGATGTGGCTCACCGTGTAGCCCAGGCTGGCTTTGAACTTGAAATCCTTCTGCCTCAGCAGGGATGATGAGTTTACAGGCCTGTACCTCCCTCCCCAACTAGGACATGTTTCTAAGACTGCTTCCAGGGAATATGGTTTTCTTAGTGACCAGGACAGTCACTTGGCACAGTCTCCCTGGGAGTTAGAGGGGCTGGTAATGGGGATGGAAGCCAAAGGAAGACCCAGGACATGACTGGAGCCTTGCCCTCCCTAAGGCACACAGTGCTGCTCTTGAGAGATATCAGCCTGGGGACTGGAGTCTGTAAGCCAAACAGAACCAGGAATGAACCCCTTTGTCCACGGCAGAAGAAAAGCACCTGTTGACTGGGAGACCTGAGGTCACCGGTGCTGGACACATGGCGGATAAGAGCAGTTAGAGACCATAGAAGGAGGTGAAATCTGTCTCCAGCAATAGCTATCCCCTAGGAACAAGCCTGTGCAGAGAAGAGCATGCACAACTTAAGGAGCAGAGGCCAGCAGTGGTGTGAGGGTGCCCTGGTCCAGGCGTCAGTGGGATGGGTACACCCAGGGAACCTAGTCCATTCAGTTTTCTTACAGTCCCTCTCAGGGTGAGATACAGGCAGAGTGCTGAGGAGACTTCCTTGTTGCCTCCCTCCACCCAGCTGGATATGCTGCATGAGACCATGGCTGAGGCTCTGAGGGAGCTATGGAAGGGCAGAGCTTGTCAAGTCGTGGAGTTCACCAAACTGGGAATGAGTGGTGGCTATTCTTGACTGTCAACTTGATGGGATTGAGAGATGACTGGGGATTAGGAGAGTGCACCTCTGGGTTCGTCTGTGAGGACTTTTACCTGCTGAATGGCTTAGTTCATAGATGGGTTCAAAATAGACTATTGATAAACCCAGCATGTTGGCGCACGCCTTTAATCCTAGCACTTAGGAGGTAGAGGCAGGCCGATCTCTATGAGTTGGAGACCAGTAAGGCCAGCCAGTGAGATCCTGTCTCAAAAACAAAACTAGGCTATTGAGCCAGGCAGCAGTGTTGGTGCACATCTTTAATCCCAACACTGGGGACGCGGAGACAGGCAGATCTCTGAGTTCGAGATCAGCCTGGTCTACAGAGTAAATTCCAGAATGGTCAGGGCTACACAGAGAGACCTTGTCTTGAAAAACAAAAACAAAACAAAAATTAAGATTATTAGGTGGTGACGGAATTGTGGACAGGCTGGAGGACGTAGGTCACTGGGACTGTGTGCTTGGGGACATATGTCATGCCTGACCTTCCCTGTTACTTCTGCCCTCTTGTCTCCGCATGCCATGACAGAAAGAGCTTCCCTTCTATATATTCCTGATACCGTGATGTTCTGCCCACACCCAGGAAGCCAAGAAGCCATGAACTCTGTGAAAGTTTGGAACAAAACAAACCTTTCCTATTTTACATTGTCTCCATCCGGAATTTGGTTACAGCAATGTGAATGCCAGGGAACAGTGAGATCAAGATGTTTTCTAAGAAATAATCCTTCTTCCTCCTTCTGGGAAAGGCTTGACTAGGATGAGTGAGATAATACCAGCTTTTCCATTTCTTAGTATAAGCCCTGGAAACTTATTCTAGTCTAGATCAAGGCTGAGCAAAACCAAATCCAGCTTCTACATGTTTGTGTAAATAAAGTTTTATTGGGACAGCCCTGTATATTTGTTACCATTATTATGGTTGCCTTTCTCATATCAAGGAATAGAGCTGAGATAGTCTCTGAAAATCCTAGAACACTGACTGTCTAGACTTACATAGAACATTTCTGACTCTTGCTCTTCTCATGATTCAAAAACATTATGGGTATTCCAAGCGTTTCTGGGAATCCTGGGTGGTCTAAATGACCAAAACTATTTTCATAATATAAGAATACAAGATGCAGGGCTAATCTGGGTGGTGGCGCACACACCTTTAACCCCAGCACTCGGGAGGCAGAGGCAGGCAGATCTCTGTGGGTTCGAGACCAGGCTGGTCTCTAGAGCCAGTTCCAGAACAGCCTCTAAAGCTACAGTGAGACCCTGTTTGATCCCAACACCTGCATGTGGCTCACAGCCATCTGTAATGCAGCTTCAGCTTCAGGGGATCTGACACCATTTTCTGGTCTTTATTGGCACTGCGTGTACTTGATGCAGAGACGTACTTACAAGCAAAACACCCATACACAAATAAAAAAAAATGAATGAAATTTACAAACAAAAAGCCCCCAAGCAAAAAAGAAATAAAATTAAAGGAGAAATAAAAAATTAGCATTAAATTAAAAAAAGAATAGAAGGCATCCTCTCTTCCCACCGTCTTCTCTCCCTTTCTTTATATTTTTTACATTTGTGTCTAAGCATGCCATCGGAGCACACAGGAGGGTCAGAGGACAACTCATGAAGTCGGTTCTCTTCCCACCAAATGAGCTCCAGGAATTGAACTCTGAGCATGGTGGCAAGAGTCTTGACCACTGAACCACCTTACGAGCCCTTTTTTCTGTTGCTGTTGAGACAGGGCGTCCCCTGAATAACACAGGTTAGCTTCAATCTCAACAGAGGGCTCTGACCTTGACCTTTTTTTTTTTTTTTCTTACCACATCTAGCTAAAGTTATTCTTTGTTGTTGTTGTTGTTTGTTTTTAAAGATTTTATTTATTTATTATGTATACAGTCTTCTGCCTGCATGCCAGCAGAGGGCACCAGATCTCATTCAAGGTGGTTTTGAGTCACCATGTGGTTGCGGGGAATTGAACTCAGGACCTCTGGAAGAACAGTCAGTGTTCTTAACCACTGAGCCATCTCTCCAGCCCAGCTAAAGTTATTCTTAAAATTTGTGGTGTGTGTGTGTGTGTGTGTGTGTGTGTGTGTGTGTGTG